CAACAAAGCAAGCAAAAACAAAGTGGGGAAATGACACCCCATGCAAAAAATGGTGCTGGGATAATTGGCAAGCCACATGTAGAAGAATGAAACCAGATCCTCATCTCTCACCTTACACAAAAACCAACTCAACATGAATCAAATACTTAAATCTAAGACCTGAAACCAAAATTCTAGAAGATAACATCAGAAAAACAATTCTAGTCATAGGCAAAGAGTTCATAACCGAGAACCCAAAAGCAAATATAACAAAAACAAAAATAAATAGATGAGACATAATTAAACTAAAAGTCTTCTGCACAGCAAAAGAAATAGCAGGGTAAAAAGGCAATCCACAGAATGGGAGAAAATATTTGCAACCTATGCATCTGACAAATGACTGATATCCAGAATCTATGAGGAACTCAAACAAATCAGCAAGAAAAAGACAAAGAATCCCATCAAAAAGTGGGCAAAGGATATGAATAGACAATTCTCAAAAGAAGATATACAAATGGCCAACAAACATGAAAATATGCTCAACATCACTAATGATCAGGGAAATGAAAATTAAGACCACAATGAGACTATCTTACACCTGCAAGAATGCCCGTAATTAAAAGTCAAAAAATAATAGATGTTGGCACGGGTGCACTGAAAAGGGAATTCTTTTATACTGCTAGTGTGAATGTAAGCTATTACAACCACTATGGAAAAAAGTATGGAGGTTCATTAAGGAATTAAAAGTAGAACTACCATTTGCTCCAGCAGTCCCACTGCTGGGTATCTACCCAGAGGAAGATAAGTCATTATATGAAAAAGACCTTTATACACACATTTATAGCAGCACAATTTCCAATTCCAAAAATATGGAACCGGCCTAAATGCCCATCAACCATCAAGTGGATAAAGAAAATGTGGTATATATACACCATGGAATATTATCAGTCATATAAAGGAATGAAATAATGGCATTCGCAGCAACCTGAATGGGATTGGAGACCATTATTCTAAGTGAAGTAACTCAGGAATGGAAAACCAAATATCGTATATTCTTACTTATAAGTGGGAGCTAGGTTGTGAGGACACAAAGACTAAGAATGATACAACAGACTTTGGGGACTCAAGGGGAAGAGTGGGAGGGCAATGAGGGACAAAAGACTACACACTGGGGACAGTGTACATTGCTCGGGTGATAGCTGCACCAAAATCTCAGAAGTCACCACTAAAGAACTTATTCATGTAACCATAAACCACCTATTCCCCAAAAACTAGTGAAATAAATATTTTAAAAATTAACATATAAGATACCTAGGAAAAGTACTCACTACACAAAATAAATAAATTTTTGAAACCAATCTGCTTTGTTCTCACAAGAAAATAAAAATAGCCTGAAATAAGTATCTGAAATATAAGTCAGACTAATATTGAGATGCCAGCTATTGAATTTAGGATTCCTTAAAAATAGCTTACCAAAATTAACACCAAAAGAAACAGAAAGAGTAGGCAATCCTTTTATTAAAAAACCAGAAATATGTCAGGCACAGTGGCTCAAGCCTATAATCCTAGCGCCTTGATAGGCTGAGGCAGGTGGATCACTTGAGCCCAAGAACTTGAAGCTACAGTGAGCCATGATCACACCACTACACTTCAGCCTGGGTGACAGAGCCAGTTCCTGATTCAAAAAAGAACTAGGAGTCTTCCCACAAAGGGAAGACAAACTATTGTACAGGCAAATTCCACCACAATATCAAGCATATTCTAACCTCATATAAATTTTTTCAAAGGATTGAAAAAGAGGAAATAATCCCCAACTCATTCTGAGTTCAGCACAATTTTAATACAAATACTGGACAAAGAGAGAAAACTACCCTTAGACTTTGTCACTCATGGATTTAGATGCAGAAATTCTAAATTAAGAATTAGCAGCTAAATAAAAATAAGTAAAAAAGATAATACTGCAAGACCCAACTGAGTTGGTTCCCGGAATGCAAAAATGGCTTAATAGAAAATATTAAACATCATTTGCCAATCAACATATTAAAGGGAAAAACATATAATCATGTCAACAGAAGTAGAAAATGCGTTTGATAAAATTCAGTATTCATCCATGTAAAAAAAGAAAAAACATTTAGTAAACTAGAAATATCATTAAACTTCCTTAGGCTGATAATAGTATATTCAAAGTACTTAAGACAAACCTCAATTTATTTTTATTTTTTATTATACTTTAAGTTCTGGGGTACATGTGCACAATGTGCAAGTTTGTTACATAGGTACACATGTGCCATGTTGGGCAAACCTCACTTTAAATGGGAAAGCCATAGACATACTCTCTTTAAAATCTGAACTAAGACTATTTGCATTAAGAATTGTCTAAAAGTCTTCATCACTTCATTAGGACAAGAAAAAAAGACATTAAAGGCATAAAGGTTGGAAAGGAAAAGACAAAACATTTTATGATCTGCATATTTGTTTATACAAAATGTAAATAATCTGTGGACAAATTATTTAAAATAATAAGGAAACCTAACAATGTGGCCTTATATAAACTCATTATGTAAAAATCAACTGCATTTCTACACATCAGCAATAAACAAGAAAATGCAGCTTTTAAAGAAAAATATCTTTACAACAAAAATTAAGGAACCTAGACATGAGTGTAACAAAAGATGTACAAAACGTGTACACAGAAATTTATGAAACTATAAAGGCAATAAAGAAGATATAAATAAGTAGAAAGATTTCCTATGCTCAAGGATACAACTTACTGATATAAATATGCCATTTCTTCCCAAATCTATCTAGAGATGCACTGTAAATGCAAATCAAAATCCCAAAAGAAGTTTTTTGGCACTTGAGCAGATTCTAAAATGTGTATCGAAGATTAAATGACTAAAAATTGCCAAGACATTCTCAAAGAAAACCTGAAGGGCTTACCCTACCAGATATCAATACTTAGTATAACATTACAATGGCAGGGACAGATGACTTGATCAAGGAAACATAATAAAGATTCTAGAAAGAGGGTTATCTATAGATATACAGTTGATCCTTGAACAACATGGGTTTGAACTGCATGGGTCCACTTACGCCGGGATCTTCTTCCACCTCTGCCACCCTGAGATAGCAAGACCCACCCTTCTCTTCCTCAACCTACACAACGTGAAGACATTGAGTATGAAGACCTTTAAATGATCCTCTTACACCTAATGGATAGAAAATATATTTCCTCTTCCTTATGACTTTCTTAATAACATTTTCTTTTCTCTAGCTTACTTTGTAAGAATATAGTGTATGATACATACACAAAATATGTGTTAATTGACTACATTATTGGTAAGGCTTTGGGTCAAAAGTAGGCTATTAGTAGTTAACTTTTTGGAAAGTCAAAAGCTATACACAGACTTTCGACTGCATGCAGGTTTGTTCAAAGGTGAATTGTACTTAGTAATATGCTGAGGGTGGCATGGCAGATCATGGTGAAAGTGAGACTTTTCAGTATTGCAGCTGGGAAAGTGGTTATCCACATGGAATGAAATGAAATAGCGTGCTACATTACTGTCTATTGAGATGAATTGTGTATTTATTTATTTAGACAGGGTCTCAGATGAATTGTGTATTTACTTTTTATTTATTTATTTATTTAGACAAGGTCTCACACTGTTGCCCAGGTTGGAGTACAGTGGTGTGATCTCAGCCCACTACAACCTCCACCTCCTGGATTCAAGCGATTCTTATGCCTCAGTCTCCTGAGTAGCTGGGTCTACAGGTGTACACCACCACCCCTGGCTAATGTTTGTATTTTAGTAGAGACACAGCTTCACCATGTTGGCCAGGCTGGTCTCTTGGCCTCAAGTTATCCACCCACCTCTGGATTGTGTATTTACATATTACATGTTGAGTGCAAAACTTTAAAATTTTTAGGAGAAAATTAAAAGAAATATCTTTATAATCCTGGGATATCGAAGGATCTCTTAAGCAAGGCGCAAAGAGCAGTAAACCACAACATTTTAAATGATAGTTTTGCCTACATTAAAATTTAAAATGACTACTTATGAGAGTATACCTTAAGGAAAGAGAAAATGCAAGCCACCAGCTTGGAGAAGACATTGGTAATCGTTAATACCTATGACTAAAAGAGGATTTCATTCTAGAATCTCTAAATTACTCCTATAAATCAATAAGAAAAAGACAAAGCTTATTAGAAAAATGGGCAAAGACAAAATAGACACTGCACAAAGATGAAATATATACGGCCAGTAAGTATATGGAGAGATGCTCAACCTAATCAATAACAGGGAAACACACATTACAAAGAGATACCATTTTATACACATTTGATTGAGAAGAAGGAGGTTAAGAGAAGGAGAAGCGTAAATAAGAAAAATTTGACAATTGGAGAAGATATGGCATTTCTAATATATTGCTAATGGCAGTAACATGACCTATCTACTTTCAAAACAATTTGGCATTATCTTATTACTCGAATATTCACACACCTCCTGAGCCAGCAATTCTACTCCTACTTAGGCACTCAAGAGAAAATCTTGCACATATGCGCTAGAAGACTAAGAATGTTCAAGGTAATAGTGTTCACGTAGCAGAAAGCAGGAAATAGCTCAATTGCCCATCATCAACAACGACAAAAAAAGATCAGTCAGAGATCCTGAGTACTGATGGCATTTCTTCAGTAATTGAACATAGCCATGCCTGAAGGTGGGCCTCAATCTAGACTGCTCAGTGACATTATATATATGCTTCCTTTTTTTGTTTGTTTAAACTAAACTGACTTGGGTTGCTCTTACTTTCAAGTAAATGAGTTTGTATTGCACCAAGAAAATTCTAACCCGAATATAAAGAAATAGAATTTGACAGATTCAATGACTTAAAACAACAAAGAATTCCCATAAACACAAGAATGTGCTTTCAGAACAAATTTCAAGACTGAGCTGGTTTGAAGAGAAAGAGGTTTGAATACAGCCACACCAGCAAATCCAAAGAAGCCAGAATGAAACTACCTGGACGGTGATGTCTCTGCCGTTGCCCTTCCAAATAAGGCCAACTGTGGGGAGTAGGTGATGACATATTTATTTGAGATATCAGCTCTTCATATGACCTGGAAAATTCTTAGGAAAAAAAAAATCACATTCTTAATTTGGCAGAAGGGAGACCCCAACTAACTAATGCATAGTATTATATATTAAAAGTCTATTTGTAACTGATTTTGTTTTTGGAAAAAAACCAAAATATTAATGTTAGATATTGTGGTTAGATTCTTAGGTCAGATACAAATTGCAAAATTAACTTTTGTTGCCACTGACACACTCTATATTTCGAATGAAAATTAACGGTAAAAAATGCATTAATAGTATTTAATATATTACCATATAATTGGGTTTATTTTTAAAGCAGTTAAAATGAGACGTGATGGCTAGTGAAGGAAAGTGGACTTTTGTGCAGATTCTGAGGAAGAAGCTTACATTTTGAGACATTTTATAAGTTGCTAGTACTGGTACAATTTCATTTGAGGGTTTCTTTTTCCAAAACCAGATAAAAATACCAGCATTAATTCGTTTCTTATTGGTACAAATTAGGGCTACCATTTGGCTCTCAAATGTGAGAAGAAAAAGGAAGCAATTTTATAGGAAATAAACCGAAAGGGAACAAGAAACACGAAGGAGCAAGTAAGTAAAAGAGGCAAGTGTTCCTGAAAGAAAGCAATGGTTACTTACTGAAATAGAGCTCAGAAACAAAAAGGAAAAGGATTAAACGGGTTTTCCTTCAAAGCTAGTAAAGACGTGGTAGGGAAGAAACTTCCGGGTTTAACTGGATCTTTGCACAAGGTAGGGCTACTAAAAGTAGATCATGTGCTTATTTTATGAAATATCTATCTTCTTCTAAGGGTGTAGAAGAAAACAAGAGGTAGGGAACTTTTTTTTTTTTTTTTTTTTGAGAGAGTCTCGCTCTGTTGCCCAGGCTGGAGTGCAGTGGCGCAATCTCGGCCGACTGCAACCTCCGCCACCTGGCTTCAAGCGATTTTCCTGCCTCAGCCTCCTGAGTAGCTGGGACTACAGGCACGTGCCATCACACCCGGCTAATTTTTTGTATTTTTAGTAGAGACAGGATTTCACCATGTTAGCCAGGATAGTCTGTGTCTCCTGACCCGGTCATCCGCCCGCCTCGGCTTCCCAAAGTGCTGGTATTACAGGCGTGAGCCACTGCATCCGGCCGAGGCAGGGAACTATTGATTGTATCCACCAGAGATTAATAGATTAGGTGCTGAAATTTGAGGACTATTGATCTTGCCCCAAATCCCAAAGAGAAAACCTCCCTACCACCCAAGCCAAATGCATTTCTGTTGCGAATCCCCCGCTCTCAACTTGGTTCAGCCTCCACCATGAACTGGATCCATTCCTTCCTGGTTAACTGCATCACACGGTTATCTTTCACATGCCAGGAATCAGGCTCTTTAGCAAACACTGCACAGCAGAAGCGCTCCACTCTGAGTGCACAGACATATCCACAAAGACTTCCTTTATCATATACTTCAAGGAATTTGCATGAATAATTTATGTTCTTTCTCTCCATACAGAAGTGATGCACAGGCATCTTCTTAATGGACTTTTCAATTTCTCTTTCTAACTTATCGAGGTCACTCATCTCTGCTTTAAAGCCAATTATTTCTTTATCTTCATTTAAACCAATGAACAAATATCCTCCATCAGTATTTGCAAATGCAGAAACATACTGAGGGAGAATCTCTTTAATTCGTTGTAACAACTTTTCTGTCGAGAAGTTTTTAATTTCAACATGTGTGGATTCAGTAAAGGTCAATTTTTCTTCCCGATCAAGTTCTGTTCTGTCAAAAAAGCCCCGAGCCAAGGCCTTCATGTTACTTTCTTCTTGTATATCAACACGGGGCCTCCTTACCACCAATTCCGGTCTTAAGTACAATCTCCCTCTAGTCTTTTTCGTGTCTTTGAGGAACTGCAGTGCAGCAGCAGCATTCATGACTTTTGCAGACGTTATATCTCTTTTGTACAAATTGGAGCTCAAGGTGGTAATCCGCAGACCAGAGGTGTTCACGCTCCATGACTTCACAAAAATCAGAAAGTAATTACCATTCTGCATGAAGTCTAAGTACTCAGGAACAAATAACAGCATGTTACTAAAAGAATGTTCCAAATCTAGTCCTATTCCATCTTTTGTATAACTATAGTCTTCATTCTCAATTTCAGCCTTGATCACTCCCCCTCCAGAATTCAGCAGAGCACACACAGCTCGTGAGACACTTTCATTCTGCCTTTTTCTCAGCTTACTGTCCTTCATTTTCTTCCTGTTGTTCTCTCCAAGAGTGACTCTTCCCACATCTAGAACCAATTCGGCATAATTCGTTTCCAAATCAATATTGACGTTCATTTTCCCAGCAGCTATGCAGTGTCCAAGCAGAAATTCTTTTCTGTAAAATAGACAGAGCCATTAGAATAGGACCTGAACTAGAAAGATAGCAAATTCTGTATTATGAGGCAAATGCAAAAAAAAAAAAAATCCTGTGCAGTATATATTCCACTAGACTGGTAAGTATATGGGTATGAAGAAACTGAAAACTGACAAATTTTGAGCTAAGACTCTAATAATTTGTACTCCTACTGAATTTTCAAATTTGTTACTATAGTTTTATATAATGTATTCTAATTATGTAATCTCTTTATCTGCCCTTTTTCTCCTTTCTAGTCCCTAATATTGTACAACCTGTTTTCTCTCTCCTTTTCTTAAACAACACCTGGAGTGAGTCTATGTTTTTATCTTCTCAATGAACCAGGCTTTAGTTATACATATTATTTATACTTTTCTTTTTATTTTAATAATCTCAGCTTTTACCTTAATTATCTCCACTTACGGTGATAAATCTTTTGGAAGATTTCCAGTTAAGGTCTAACGACATCCAGCAATATGTCATGTTAATTATTTTTCCCTCTTGTAAGAATGAATTAGATTTACAAATTTTGGCCATTGATCTTAAGCAAAGTGGGCTAAGTCATTGTGCCTTTTTAAAATCTAATATTCGTGTATTTTCAATAGGGAAAATTCTTATATAGAAAACACCTGTGCTATGGTTTGAATGTTTGTGTTCCCCCAAAATTCATATGTTGAAATTCTAACTCCCAAGGTGATGAGGTTTTTGGGAGGTGATCAAGTAACGAGGGTGAAGGACCCCAGAACACTAGCTGATCCCTTCCACTATGTGAGAACACAGCAAGAAAGTAGGCAGTCTGCGAGAGGAAAAGGGCCCTCACCAGAACCCAGCAGTGCTGGCATCTTAATCTTGAACTTCTCAGCCTCCAGAACTGTGAGTCATAAATTTCTGTTACTTGTAAGCCACCCAGTTTGTGGTATTTTGTTATGGCAGCCTAAACAAATTAAGACAGTGTGCTTTAGTCTGTGTATCCCTAATCCATTAGCTCTGTTCCCTTAAAATCTATTGGGATCACTGCTTTGCTCTAAATGGAAAGTTTTAGGTTAAGTTAAGAAGTGTAACTTCAGTTCAACTTTTTTTAAGTGTAACTTAAGTGTAACTTTTAGGTTAAGAAGATTTTTTGGTTTTTTTGTTTGTTTGTTTTTGGGTTTTTTTTGAGATGGAGTCTGGCTGTGTTGCCCAGGCTGGAGTGCAGTGGCACGATCTCGGCTCACTGCAAGCTTTGTCTCCCGTGTTCACTCCATTCTCCTGCCTCAGTCTCCCAAGCAGCTGGGACTACAGGCACCTGCCACCATGCCCAGCTAATTTTTTTGTATTTTTAGTAGAGACGGGGTTTCACCGTGTCAACCAGGATGGTCTTGATCTCCTGACCTCATGATCCACCCGCCTCAGCCTCCCAAAGTGCTGGGATTACAGGCGTGAGCCACTGCGCCTGGCCAAAGTGTAACTGTTTTATAACTTTTTTTAAGTGTAACTTAAGTGTAACTTTTAAGTTAAGGTAAGAAGTATAACTTAAGTTTAACTTTTTTAAAGTGTAACTTAAGTGTAACTTTTAAGTTAAGAAGTTTAACTTAAGAAGTGTAGGTTTTCCAAGTGGCATAGAGACAATTGAGAATAAAGTCCATCATAGGTTGTAATTACTATACTAGAAAAGGAATGTAAAAGGGGTCAGAATATTCCTGTCCACTGCTAGACCAATATCATGCAGATACTCAGCTAAGGTTGTGGATACTACCTGTGTCCATATAAATTCCTGATCACATGTAAACAATGTTAACACTGGAGCCCCAAACTATTTAGACAGTTGGGGTTGAATCCTTTAGTTCTTTGTCCATGTTTTCTCTTAGCTCTTTGAAGATATTTAAGACAGTGTTTGTTTTTTATTTTATTAATTTATAAATAAAATCCTATATATTAATCATTTACAATGTGTTTTTTTTTGAAACATGTATATACTGTGGAATGGCTACATTGAGCTAACTACCGTATGCACTACTTCACAGACTTATCATTTTTCTGGTGAACATTGCTACTGTTTTAGCAGCTTTCAAGAATACAGGCCCAGCACGGTGGCTCATGCCTATAATCCAAGCACTTTGGGAGACTGAGGTGGGAGGATCGCTTGAAGCCAAGAGTTCAAGACCAGCCTGGACAACAAAACAAGACCACATCTCTACAGAAAAGTAAAATAAAATAAAATAAGAATTGGCTGGGCACAGTGGTTTGTGCCTATGGTCCCAGCTACTTAAAAGGCTGAGGTGGGAGGATCACTTGAATCCAGGAGTTCAAGGCTGTAGTAAGCTAGGACATGGCACTGCACTCTAGCTTGGGCAACAGAGAAAGACCCTGTCTCCAAATAAATAAATAAATAAATAAATAAATAAATAAATAAATAATAAAGAATACAATATATTGTTAACTATAGTCATCATATTGTACAACAGAGCTCTTGAACTTATTCCTCCTATCTAATTGACATTTTGTATCCTTTAACCAACATTTCCCCAAACCCCATCTTTCCCCAGTAACCACTATTCTACTCTATATTTCTATGAGTTTAACTTTGATAGATTCTACAAATAAGTGAAATCATGCAGTATTTGTCTCTCTCTGCTTGGCTTATTTCACTTAACATAATGTCCTCCAGATTCATCCATGTTATCAAAAATGACAGGATTTCCTTCTTTTTCTAAAGGCTAACCAGTATTTTATTATCTCCATGTACCACTTTTTCTTTATCCGTTCATCTGTTGGTGAACACTTAGGTTGCTTCCGTATTTTGCCTATTGTGAATAATGCTACAATAGACATGAGAGTACAGATATCTCTTTGATAGATTGATTTCATTCCCTCTGGATATTTATCAGGAGTGAGTTTGCTGAATCGTATGGTGATTATTTTCCTTCTTTTTCTTTCTTTCTTTTTTTTTCTTCAGAAACTTCCATACTATTTTCCATAATGGCTATGCTAGTTTAAATTCCTACCAATAGTGTTCAAGGGTTCTCTTTTCTCTACATCTTCACCATCTCTTTTTATCTCTTGTCTTTTTTGTAATAGCCATTTTAAGATGTGTGAGGTGATTTCTCATTGTGGTTTTAATTTGCATTTTCCTGATGATTAGTAATGTTGAGCATTGTTTCGTATATCTGTTGTCCATTACAATGTCTTCTCTTGAGAAACATCATTCAGATCCTTTGCCCATTTTTTAATGTTTTTTTTTCTTACTATTGAGTTGAGTTTCTTATATATTTTGAATATTAACCTCTTCTCAGATGTATGGTTTACAAATATTTTCTTTCATTCTGTAGCTTATTATTTTACTCTGTTGATTTTTTGCTTTGCTATGCAGAAGCTTTTTAGTGTGATGTAATCCCGTTTGTCTACATTTGCTTTCATTGCCTGTGCGCCATTGGGATGACATCCAAAACATCACTGCCCAGGCCAATGTCTTGGATCTTTTTCATATATTTTCTTCTAGTAGTTTTATAGTTTCAACTCTTACATCTAAGTCTTTAATCAATTTTGAGTTGATTTTTGTATTTGGTATGAGATGAGGGTCTAATTTCATTTTCTGCATGTGGATATTAAGAACGTTGTTTTAAAATCTTTGTCTAATATGTGTGGTATCTGGCCTTCCTCAGAGACGTGTTCTGCCAATTTACTTTCTTCTTTTGGATAGATCGTATTTTTCTGTTGTGTGTATGCTTTATGAATTTTTGTTGGAAACTGGGCATTTGAAAAAACAGCGATCTCTCACAGTCTTTGCAGACAAATGCTATGGCAAGGCAAACCTTCAATGATTGGCTAAGTATACTCTGATCTTAGGGATCAGCTTGAGGAAAAAGTTTAAGGTCTTCTCAGGTTTTTCTGAGCATTTGTCCTGCCTGGATTGAGTGGGGCTTTCTTGATTCCTTTACATACATAGCTGCTTTTGAATGTCTTAATTTCCCAAAGAATCTCACCCTAGCTCCTCTTGTGAGCCTTAGATGGTTATTCTATGTCTCTAGCTATAATCTCTTGCCTAAGACATCTGGAGGTCCATAGTCTCCTTGCAGCTTTCCTGAGCAGTGGCTGTCACTTCTCCTCACTTGAGATCTGAGGTAGGGGATACAGAAATGAATCCCTCAGGCAGTCCCCAGACAGGTTACAACATCGAAAATAAGTTTTACTATGCCCCATCAGTTCCAGGGAGGAAACTAGGAGCAGTGATGCTGCCTCCTCAAGACTAAGACCTTGCCACGCAGGGCAAAAGGTTGGGCAAGGGTGAATAAAAACATCATGAAATTGCCTACAGCTTTGAATGTTGCTTTTTGTTGCTTGGGCATTCATTTAGTTGCAACAGATCTTTGTTGTTAGTTCAGTCAGTTTTGGGTTGCTTTTGATGTTTCCATGGAGAAACAGAGTTGAAGCTTCTTAATCCACTATTTTTCTGGCATCATTCCTGTCACCATTTCTTTATATTAAATGCAATTTGATAATATTTTTAAGATTTTGCACCCATGATATCCCTTTCTCCTATTCTTGTTGACAGGTAATGCAAATCAAGTAGCTTCATAAAATGAGTTGGGGATGCAAGCTGCATTTCTATTATTTCACGTTTTACCCAGTATGAGGACCTTTTTGCAGTGAGAGAGTTGGTCACAGTCGGCCATACTGCCCAAAACTAAAATATACAGTTTGAATCTTGCTTTTCCATGTATCAATATAGTATATACAATCAATTTTGCAAAATAATAATTAGCTATTATTTAAAAACCTTATTAACTGCATAATTTCATACATGGTATTAATGTACCATTATTTAACTACTACCCTACAACTGAACATTGAAGTTGCTTTCAATCATTCAATATAATTGTACTAGAATCTTGACTCTGTTATTTCAGTGCTTGGGTATGCTAATCACATAGTCTAATTTTCATTGAGTCTAAGAGTGCCCTGGCAAAGCGCTTCAATTATATATACAGATACGGTTCAGATAT